GTAATACGAAATCAGGTCTTTGCGTAGTTCTTTTACAATGTTTTTTTTTATTATTTATTTTTTTCATTTTTCTTTAATCTCTTGAATAGAAATTAAATGAAAAATTAATAAAACTTTGTTAAAGAAATTTAAATCAAAGTTTAATTTTTTCAAGTACATGTTATATTCAAGAAACACCATCTTTTTATCGCGAGTAAAAGTCACAACTTTATTGAAGCGTAAAAAATCCGGGTTCGTAGTTCGTCATCAGGTGGCGCGCGCAAGAACCGAGGTTGCACGAGCCTGTCGCGTGTAACAAAATTTTTTGGGTTGCGCGCGACACCTGTACTACGAGTGTTTAATTTTTTTTCATTATTACCCCCCCCCCCCAAGTGTGAAGAGTGTTTCATGATGTTCGAAAAAATCTTAACACTTAGAATTCTTTATTATTTTTAAATTAACCCCCAATTGTTATGTGCTTTACCATGTTATTTGGTAAAGTTCATAACACTTAGAATCATTCGATTGAATGCTAAAAAAATTATTTATTTCATGAGTGAACGAGTTTATCCGGATTTTATATGTAATATTTTTTAAGTCGAACAATGTTTATTAATTGGCGAATTTCATCACCTCCAATATCCATTAATCTGATGGCTCCTCCTGATAGGATTTCAATTACACGATAGGGACATATCCAATTAGGCTTTAATTTCCCTCTTGGATTGGTTGGTGGACCCCTAACCTCCTTTAGTACAAAGTCACCTTCTTTGTTATTTCTGGGTTTTAGCTTTTTATTAAAATGACGCGCAATGCGCCGTTAGTAGACATGTACATGATGCAAAGCTCTTAATAGTCGTTCATCGAGGAATAAAAGCTCTTCATACCTCGCTCTATTCAGCTTCCAGTAGCTTACTTTCGAGTACGATGCGTAGGGATGGTATTTCTAGTTTGACTGGTTGAACTGGATCCATTCCTAAAACTAAGGAGTATGGAGTTACTCCTATTGATGTTCGTATGGACGTTCTATAACCCCATAATGCGAAGAGTAGTTTATTCGACCAGTCTTTATAATTTTCTGCCATTTTCTTAATGATGATTGTTATGTTTTTATTTGCCGATTTTACAGCTCCATTCATTTGAGGTTTGTATGTAGATGAGTGATAACGTTCTACTTTATAACGAGTTAAGAATGTCTCGACATCAGCTTTGAATTGAGATCCCCGATCACTGATTAGTTCATGTGGAACTCAATATCTACAAAATATGTGTAGACACCTACTTTTGGCCTCTTGTCCAGAAAGGAAGTGCGAAGATGTTACAAAAATCCATTCTTCATGTTAGAAAAAAGTTGAAGTGTTTATGGACTACGAAAAGCATTATGAAGCAATTTAAAACCCATATTTGAGACCAAGTTATCTTAGAGCCTTGTCTGATTACTAATTAGGCCTAAAATATGTTCATATAGGTTTAAACTTGATTAATTACGGACCCAAATGCGTCAAATGCAATGATTGGATCCAACGGAACCTACTTTGTTAAAAACCGAGCCAAACAGATAAACCAATCATCAAATTCCCGTGAAAGACCTATACATATGGATATCCCTTTCAAATATCTTTCCAACGGTATATTATAAGCCCAATTCCGAGCCAAAACGAATAAGTTATGATCAAAACATTAAACCGGACCCTTAAACTAAGACCCTTGCACTCCAACGACCATAACTTTTGATCCATAACATATTTCACCGAATTCTAATGGCATTGGAAATTAGACATTCATATCTTTCCAATGTTATCTTACACGCCATAATCAAACTCCGCAATCAAAATTTATGAAATTTTTAAAAATGCACTTTCGTATACGGCAAACCGCAAACCAGTGCAACTCAATCTGTTGTGCGAGCCTGGCGCGCGAGACTCATTGAGATGCGCGCGGCACCTAACGGGATTCAAAGAGTTGCGCGTGCCACCTAATGGCGCGACTCTAAAACCCTAAACCTAGATCCCTACGCCTATAAATAAGGGTCTTCGTTTAGCATTACGAGGACCGGAAAAATCAGAATTAAAACATTATTATTCTCAAAACCCTAACCTCTCTACTTCTCTTACTATCATACTATGTTTCCCTCTTTCTTCCCAACTACTCTTCAACCCTAATCCATCCATTGAAGCTCTTAAAGGTACAAAGAAGAAATAAAGTCCATAAACACATTAAACGGAAATTTAACATAAAAGAAGAACGGTTAGTTTCCTGAGCACTTAGATAAATCACTTTTCCTTTATTTTTTAAATAACTTTAATAGAATTAATAGTGTTTTTTGATCACTTTAAAAAAACTTTTAATTAATTAATTCACATAGTATTCTTTTGTTAATCAAGAATAGAATTTTATAATTATTGTTGTTTTATCACTTAAGACAAGGCGAATACTGTTTATTTTGTTCTTTTCACGAATATTGATTAAATAAAGAATAACAACTTTTGTGATGTAATTCCAACGTGATTGATGCTTGTAAATAAAATCAACTAACTTGGTCTGTAGGTATCACATTGCATATATTGTTTTGTAATGAAATTGGGAAAAAGGAAGAGCTCGTAGAGGCCGTACTAGGGCTAGAATAGCGATTCCTCCTTAACAGGAACGTTATTTTAGTACCCTCGCTCCCGAAATCATTTCTGGTTTATGTAGACCAATTTGGGCATGGGTAAACTTACGATTCGTGCTAATTATTCCATGAACTCCACATGGAAGAGAGGCATGAACAAGGTTTATGAGTTTTCCTAAAACTTATTGGCGACTCCTACTTGTTTCTTACAAAAAAGCGTGATGAGAGTATCATTTCTAATTCAAGGTCTCCCAAATAGTCAGGAATTCAATCATAATACACCCTAACAAGTTTAAAGTCTTAGGCTTTTAAATGGCCATGGGCATATAAGGAAGGACCCCTTACGATGGGATCACCCTCCTTACAATATGTTTCGTTAGAGAAACTTTGCGACATGTTTAGAAGTGATATTCATGTAATAAGCTTCCTCAATCCACTTGGTAAAGTAATCGATGGCTACAAATACGTACTCGTGTCCTCTTGTTCCTGTTGGAGAAATTTTACAAATTATGTCAATTCCCCAAGTTGAAAAAGATCAAGGGGAAGTGAGATTGTATAGTTCGGATGGTGGAAGGTGTTGTAAATTAGCGAACATTTTGCACTTTGGACATTTTTTAACATATTGTATGCAATCATGTTCCATAGTGGACCAATAGTACCCTTGTCGTGAAATTATTTTTGCAAGCATTTTACAATTCATGTGAGGTCCACAAAAACCTTTGTGAGTATCTCCATAAGGCGTGTGGATTCAGGTTGGTCTATACACAATAAGCTTTGACCATTAGGTCCTTTTTTGCATAATTGATTACTAGACCGTATTGTGCCGCAAGTGTTCTTAAGGCTCGTTAGTCTTTCGATGAAGTATTTTCAGAATATGTGCCATGGGTAATATATTAGAGGATATGATCATACCAAGGATTATCTCCTTCGATGTCATTTATTTCCTCTATTGCGTTGCAATATGCTGGTTCTTCTCTTCTATCAACGCATAATGGCATCATATTTAAGTGATCTTGAATGTTGATCATTGAGGATAATTTTACCAGCACATCGGCAAATTAATTATCATCCCTTGGGAGATATTTAAAATCAATATTTTCAAAATTCTCGATGAGTTGCTCTTGGTGTGCTTGGTATAATATCATTGTGGAGTTCTTTATTTTCCATTTTTTCAGTATATGATTTAGAATCAAACTAGAATCTTCATATGCCTCTAATTTTTGTACACCTATGCTAGGAGCTGCTTCTAATCAATTAATGCACGCTTCACATTCCGCGGCATTATTAGTAACCACAAAGTCTAATTTGACAGAGATTGGAGTATATGCTCCCTCTGGACTTATGACTAACACTCCTACGCCACATCCTTTTTTATTGGACGCACCGTCGAAGTACATTACCCATTTGTCATCTTGTGTCATGAGAATCTCTTCATCCGGAAGATGAGTAGTTTTTGCATGACTTGTTTGAATTGGATGTTGGGCAAGAAAATTGGAAATTACTTTTCCTTTCATTGATTTTTCAGGAATATATTTTAGCTTAAATTCGACCAACATTACTAACCAATTGGATATCCTTCCTTATATAGGTGGTTGTTCAAACAAATACTTTATCGGATTTTGTTAAGAAATCACATAAGTGGTGTGTGGTAGCATATAATGTCGTAATTTTTTAGTTGCCCACACTAATGCTAGACTTGTTTTTTCCAAGGTGCTATATTTTGTTTCATATTGAATGAACTTTTTACTTAAGTAATATATTGCACGCTCGACTTTTTCTACCTATTATGTTAACATGGCGCATGTGGCCGTGTCTGTAACTATGACGTATAGCCTAAGAGGTAGTTTGGTTACTTGTGGTGCTAAAATTGGTGGACTTTTTAGATAATCTTTGATTTTCTTAAAAGCCTTTTGGCATTGTTAGTCCCATTCACGTTTTTCCTCTTTTTTCAATTTTTTAAATATTGTCTCACAAGTCATAGTCAATTTGTTGATAAATCGACTAATGTACTGTAGTTTGCCAAGGAACCCCCTAATTTTTTTTTTGTTTGAGGGGGAAGCATGTCAACAACTGCCTTTATTTTAAAGGAAACGATCTCAATACAACGTATGCTTAATACGTATTCGAGTAACTTGCAAGAAGTTACCCCGAAAGCGCATTTTTCTGGATTCAATCGCATTTTGTATTTATCACTACACCAAAAACAGGAATAAGGAACGCAACATACAAAACGGTTACGTAGTATAGGCGTTTTGTAGAATTAAAAAGAACGCTTATCTTAGATAGGCGTTCTGTAAGTAAAAGTATATAGAACGGTTAGCTTAGTTAACCGTTCTCTAATATTATTTTGTATATAAAAATAAATTTAATAAATTACTTTAAGATAATATAGAACGGTGTTTTGTTCAACCATTCTGTATTCCATTCCAAAAATATAAAATTCACCCTTCCAATAATAGAGTTGTCGTGTCTTTATTTTCGAATTAAAACCCTAACTCCACTCATACAATCATACGCTCATACCCCTAGTCCAGCCGTCTTATATCATTCTCTATAAACTTCATTTTCTACTCTTCTCACAATCTTCTTTCATGAATTTCTACAGCTTAAATTATTTACTCTTCAATTCTCATCGCTTTCCTCTTCGTCCCGGCAACGTCAGCGAAATCACTGACCTTTTTCCCTTCGTCATAACTCGCTCATTCCCTTCTTGGCCGACCTTGTTCAGATTTTTAGTTTTCGTTGTATTTCTTTCATTTTTTTAATTTTTACTGATTCATAAAGTAGGATAGTGTGGGTTAATTTGTGTTCTTTCGTTATGTCGCTAATTGAAAAAAGCGAAATTTTGTATCAGATCTTTAGTGTAGATGGTATTGGTTCATTCCGTGATTTGCAATTTGGTACCGCCTAACTTAGTTCCTTGATGTCAGGTTTACAATGAAGTTGGGTGAAGGTGGGTTATTTTTTACCATTAATTTTCATTCTTATTATTTTGTATGTCATTTTTTTTACAGGAAAGTAAATTTGTCACTTTCATACATATTTATTATAATTTTTGTATCACAATTCAGATTACTTTTGAGTATTCAAATTTTATGATTTTTTGATTCAATTGTTATAGTTATTCATATTACATAATTGATTATTGAGCTTGATTTTCTCATGTTGTTTTCTTTTTGATGCAGACATTTGTAAGGAAGAACAAGGAATTTCTCACAAATCTTCTCAAATACATTATTTTAGTTCTCAAATTTCTCCTTTATTTTTTTTCGTTTAAATTGTACCATTCGATATTGTAATTAATTAATAAGATGAGTATATATTCAGTTTCGTATTTCACATTGCATATCTACTACGACTCTACTTGCACTACAATTTTTGTTCAATTCAATTTTCAACTTTTCATGTAGAACTTGAATATCAATCTTTTTTAGATCTGCAGATTTGCAGGTGGTAATTATTTTATTTTTTTTTAAATTTAAGAAAAGAGAACTGTTGTGTGTAAGAACGGTTCTCTTTTTCCATGAATTTGTAAGCGTTATTTCGGAGGGTAAAGAGAACAGTTGTCCTACATAACCGTTCTCTTTTACTTTGCATACAGATCGCTTCTTTCACCCGTTTTATAAACTTTACACATCGCTTAGCAGAAGAACGGTCCTAAGGCGTTCTATAAGACCTCTTTTGACCATTCTCTAATCCCTTTTTTGTAGTTGTGATCCAATCAATAAGATTAACCTAAACCTATTTATCTATGTTGATTGAATATAAATGCACAAATAAACTATTATTGGCGATCACTTGAAATTATAATCACATTAACCCTAAACAAGATTATTAATTATCTTATTAAGCGTAATTACAAGTACCAATTTTCTTTAAACATGCATAAAAGATGTGATCAAGCAATAACAATAAATATCAAGCAACATAATAAATAATCATAATCAATCATTATAATAGTCATAATAATAATCATAATCATAATCATCATAAATAAAATAATCGTCATCAAAATAATAATAATAATAATAATAATAATAATAATAATAATAATAATAATAATATTCATAATCATCATAAATTATAACGATTATAATCATAATCATGTTCATGTTAATATTAAAGCATAATAATAATAGCAAGATCCTAGGCATGATACTAACAAGATTAATAACAAACCCTAACATGTTACTAAGCAATAAAAATCAAATCTTTAACCCTAACATGATACTAACAATCATATATAAATATTAGAAAGAACATAGGAAGCATCATACTTTTAATCATACTTAATATTAAAATTACCCTAGACATGATACTAGGAATCATAATAACAACCTAAGCATGAACTCTACATCATAACATCAATAAAAACCATTAAAGCACTTACTTTGATACTTCGTACCTCTTTCTAATAACAAAATACACACGTTAGTAACTTCAAGGAAAATAATAATAAAAACAATTAAATTAAATAATTGAAAGAGAGATTTGGGACCAAACCCTCATAAATTAAACCTTTCACGTCTAGGGCGAATGCAACTTTGAATATGGCTAGGTGTTTCTAGATCAAATGAATGCGGAATTTTGTATATAAAATGACCAGTTTAGAGAAAAAGAGAGAGAAAGAATTGACGAATGAGAAGAGAATGAGAGAATTAATTATTGCGATTGAAAACTGGTTATAGGTGATTATAATTGAAAGGCTCGTTGTTAATTCCTCTAAACGGAGATTTTACGACGTTATTTATAGAGAAAATCAGCCAAAAAGATAAAATTAACAAAGTAGAGTATTGGCGCACAAAAAACAGAGCTGGCGCCAGCACCAGCTAATTGGCGCCAGGCGCCAGGCTCGGTTCCCGGCGCCAATGGCTAGCGTTGGGCGCTAGACCTGTTTTTTAACGCATTTTCTAAAATCAGATATATTTTGCCGTACAGGAGGATAAAATCGTATATTTTCCTCAAAAATGCTCTTTGATTTTAATTAAAACTCTAAAAAGTCAACAAAAGTCAATTTATCAATGCTAATTGAATTAGGAATGAAAAGAACCTTCTAGAAGAATCTAGAAGACTAAAACCATTCCTAATTGCATTAAGGAATGATAAATCATATTAGGCCCTCCCCTAGATCATTGGGCCGCACATAAGGCTCAAATCGGGCCCAGTTTAGTAAATTGGCCATAACTTCCTCAATATTCATCGGAATTGGGCTTATAACATATCGTTGGAAAGCTCTTGTCAAGCCCCATCCAACTACACTATTATTGGACCCATATCATGGACCAACCAAACTGGATTGGCTGTTTTCTTTAAAATAAGTTTTCAAAAACATAGAGAAGAGAAAAGAAATTAAACCTATCCGGAACACTAGACTTTCCACACTTTCACTTCATTCGATTATGATTCGACGTGAAAGGTACTCATCACTGGGTTTGGTTTTGGGGAGACACAAATGGGTGTCTACAGAAGCCCCCACTTTGACTGAGTTTGGAGAAATGCGAGTTTCGAAAACAAAAGTCAAAGTATCGATAGGGACGGAGAATGATTAAGAACGTTCTGCGATCCTAAATCACTCTTGAAACGCCGATACCTGCAAAATAGCGTTAGTTAAAAAGATAAAAGAGTTAAGAAACGCGTATCTTGCACCGTCGAGCACACGTCTCTGAAAGTAACCGATTTGTTGCTGCTTTACTGTTGTTTTGATGACCTTCTGCAAGCTAGGGAACGCGATCCCGCTTAAAAACCGCTACGCCCGTAACTGCTTCCCAATTAGAAGATTGCTTCGCCTGAAACGATCCTCCTCCGCTATGATAGTATTCCACGTCCAAGGAAATACCATCGAAGATTATTTCTCTTGAAACAACCTTAATCTGTATTGATAATATTCCGCGTCCAAGGGAATACTATCGAAGATTATTTCTCTTGAAACAATCATCATCCGCATTACGACTATCCTTCACGTCTAAGGGAACATAGTTGAAGAGAACTTCACTTGAAATTTCCTTCAGTTGTTTGTGACAACTCTCCACAAGCTAGGGAATGCCATTGAAGATATCCTAGCTTGAAGCCATCCTCATTTGATGCTAATTTCCCAAAGGAAATTACCGAAAATCTCCGCTTGTCGATCTTTTAAAAGCTCGCCTGAACTTTGCTCCTACTATGCCTGTACGTCGGCGCTTCCGTTGCTTTGAACCTGTATGTCGGAGCCTTTGCTATTTATAAACCAGTATGTCGGTGTTTTTCTGCTTTTGAACCTTTATGTCGGTGCCTCTTGCAAATGAGCCAATGCTTAGGCGCTTTAAGCTAAGTGAGACGATCTTTCATCAAGTCAATCACGTTACGTAATCAAGCCGATTACTAAAAATCATGTCAAATTGCTTAGAGGGAGATAACTCGCGTACCAAGGAACCCAAAATATGTTGCAAAAAGGTAGAATAACCCCACCGAGTGGCTGAGTGTCCTGGCGCCGCGGAAAAGCCATCAGCGCCACACAAATAGCCTTAGCGCCAGGCGCTAGGATTGGCGCCACGCGCCAAGCCTGATTTTTTACGCCAATGCCTAGAGCTTGGCGCTAGCACGGGGTTTCCCTTAAATACCCCTTTCTTCTTCATTTGCTGCTTTGCTCGTCACAATTTTACTCGAAAAAACTAGAAAATTTCATTTGCTTCGTGCTTGCTCGTTTTTCAACCGAATTCACTAAAATTCGTTGTAAATTAAAGCTCTTTTCATCTACTTTCCTGATCTATGTAAGGTTTCTTCAAACTCACATCAATTTTTATGAATTTTTGACATGTTTATTCACGAATTTCATGTAAATTCAAAATTTAAAATGCTCAATTCACTTTGTTTATCAAATTTTATGCCATAAAATTGCTTGATTATGTTTATATATTGCCTTGGGAGTAATTTGAGACTTGTTTGACTCAATTTGTTGAAGAAATGAGCAATGTGCCATTGTTGGACCTCCTAAGGTCGTGAAGAACAATGTGGCTCATTCTCGATGTTTTTGTTAGCAATTCTTGTCCAATTTGTCACAATAATACTATAGTATTGTAAGAAATTGTGTGATTGCTTGAAAAATGCCGTTATGCTCAATTTGAATTTGTGCTCTGTTTTAGTACTATGTACTCTGTTTTTTGCGAACATAGTATCATGCGGCTAGGCGAACCTTAGATACTATAGAACCTTAATTTATGGTAATTTTGCACAATGTAGTATGGCTAGGCAGCGAGGTTCGGGTTCACAGTCCCGAAACACCCAACGGGAGCATGAGCCCGTAGAGGACAACGTTACACCATCTACTTCGCTTGGTCGACTCCCCGAGTGGGATGAGCGGACCCTGTTCTTTGCCCCCGTCCACCACATTTTTGAGAGGGTGAGTCGGGGCATCACGGTTGGGAGGACGCGCTATCACGGTTCCGGCTGTGATGGCTTGGGCGATTTGTACAAGATGTACATCACCAGGGATCTTGAGACGAGACTCCTATGGGAGTCTTGCAGACTGGCTACCTTGTTTGAGACCTCCGAGGCGATGGTTGCCTCCAGTGGGGGTCACCATATAGTGCGTGCTTTGGTGGAGTTCTTCTAGGACACCACCAACACTTTCCACTTCCCCTGGTGCGAGATGATGGTCACCCCCACAGACTTCAGCCTCATTACAGGATTGGAGTTCAACTCTGTGCCACTGCCGTTCGACAGTGGAATCGACGTCTTTTCTGCTGAGGTCGAGGAGCTGTTGGGGCCGATCACTATTCGGGCCCGAGCTGAGGTCAAAACGTCTCAGTTTAGTGCCAGGGGGATTCGCCGCTTGACGCTGGCAGCGGCTTTTGATGACGATGAGACCACCCGAGAGCAGCGGGTACGCATCTTTGCACTAATGTTGTTGTCAGGGACGTTCTCTCCTGACAAGGGTAGTAGGGCGTTGCTTTACTACCTTCCTGCTGTCCGCGATCTTCACCAGATTGGGACTTATGACTGGGCCAGCTTGGCCTACGCTGACTTTGTTCATGCATTGAGGGACTTGTGTCGACACCGGTCCTTTGGGACGAATGTTGCTTTGTCCGCCTTTTGGGAGATCGTAGAGGTAAACATTATTCCCTATAAAGTTTAGCTCTACATTTTAGCTAGAATTTATTTACAATTTTTACTCCTTGTAGATCTGGTTCTACAAGAACTTCCCCTCTGCTGCGCCGGCAAGACCATCGCCATGCGGATTTCCAGTGAGCGCTTCTTGGGGCGGCCGCGATGTGGATATGTCTACTACATATGTCCGGAACTGGATCATCGTGGTACGACTTTTTTATTTATTTGCCTTTTCGCGACGCTTTAGGTATACTCTCGCCTGATTGATGT